ATGTCTCTTCTCTAAGAGAAATCAAGGCCTCACAAACTTTGATTCCATAGTGAAACTTAGTGATGCAAGTTTGCTTTCTAGATGCCCAAATTATGGCACCTCTCCCAAGCAAGAGGACCCATCTCAATGTTGAAGTATCACCTTTAACATGAGAAATCCAACTAACATCTACAAATCCTTCCCAAAATTGATGGAAAGCCACTATAAGTCAATACAGTGTGCCTTTGACATATCCTAGTACACGCCTCATTTCATTTCAAATGATGAGAACTAGGATTCATCACATACCAACTTAATTGTTCTATCGCATATGCGATATCTAGCATCATGTAAGTCATGCATACATCTCCAGTTGTAAAACTGATTTTCAGTATTAACCAGAAGTTCCATACTTGGATCCATTGGGGTCTTGAACTCACTACAATTCCTACTATGGAATTTATGCAAGTACCTTCTCGTGCAGAAAAATTGAGAGAAGGACTCTTTCTTGTCGTTCCGCTTGATACAATACACAGAATCACATTTGCCTCCCCCATATCCTACATGGAGAATTGAAATAACAACTTTTTATTAAAGTTCACTTATCTTTTATTGGTTCCAAAGATAAGCATGTCTTATACATACAAATGTACGATGACTTCATTACCAGAATCATCATAAATTGTGTACACATTTTGTCTCCTTGGTTGAAAATAACATAAACCACTTGACAAAATAACTTATCTTTGATTGGTCCCAAAGATAAATATGTCATTTACATACAAACACAACGACTCTATTACCAAAATCATCAAACATTGTATACACAATTTCGTCTCTTTGGTTTAACGTAAACCTCTAGACAAAATCACACCACCAAACCACTAGACAAATCCAAGTTTATCTAGAACTTCTTAAATGTCGAATAGAGAATTAGACCAATTAACCATTGAGTATGTGACCTATCCAAAGGCAATTTCATTCTTCTATTTCTCCATTTTACGAATCATTCTTCCTCATCTTAGAATCATCCCTCTTCCAAGTTACCTTCTGAATATGGAATACACCATGAGACTAGTATGAAGAAAACCCATCTTCTACTATCATCAATGAAATACCCATCATCGAAAATTCTCATAATTCCATAGACCGGAACTGGTTTCTTGTAAAGAGCGGTTCGAGCCATCGTACCGGAAAATATTCTTTTCGATTGTTGGGACTTTTAGGGACGAGGGTATACGTACGATAGCCCGAGACTGGGTAACCAGGATTGTGATAGAGTCGTGAACAACGTTCACTTTCCGAAAAGAATATTTCCACCCTCAACAAGCCTAGGGTTACAGGAAATTTCTCCCGAGGATAAAACTATCACCACTTTAGGTTCCAGGCTCAAGAACACTAAAGCATACTTAGAAATTTTTGGAAGAAAGAAGAAGAATATGTTTGATGGTATGTGGCATCATCCACCCCACACATATTTATAGGGGCCGAATCCATGCATTGTTTCATGAAAGGTTGCCTTTATCCATACGAAAGGTTGCCTTTATCCATATGAAAGGTTGCCTTTATCCATATGAAAGGTTGTCTCTATCCATAAGGTTATCCTTATCCATAAAATAATGCAACCGCCACTAGGCCAAAGGGATGTGTCCCTTCACGGAATTAGAATATCGGTTCGGTCGGTCTAATACCAAACCGGTTGGTCGATCCAACCCAAAACCGGTTTGACTTGGTTAGTCCGGTTCAACCAAATTTCCAACAAGGAACAACCGCACTTTTAATGACATCAATTGCATTGCGAGAGTTGTGTTCATCAAGGCAATCAAAGCTTCGGTCGAGTGGTTGGCTGCGCATAAGAAGATTTGCAGAGATCAATGTCTTGGCTGGTTGAGGTCGCAGCTTTCTAATGAGACGTAGAGTGGTAGGCATTGGAAGTGGTTCTTGGGGCAGGAGTGGTTCGGCGCAGGTTGCGAAATGAGCAGCGTCAGTTTGCTGCTTCTTTGCGGATCTGTTGGGGATCTGCTCGAGCTGAGCGTTCTTGTTCTTTGGGTTGGGGGACCTATTTTGGGATATAGGGGCCTGCTGCTGGTGGGCATTGTTTTGGTTGTGTTTCTTTACTTTTATTCTTTCATTCTTTCTCTCTTTCTTTTGCTTTGGCCGCGGGCACTTCTTGTGCAGAGGTCTTTTTTTTTTTTTTTTGCTTTCTTGCTGTTCTCTGGACTGTCCCTTCCTTGAAGGGGAAGTCTGGTGCTTGTTGAACTGGTTTTGGTTTTTGGTTTTTAATTTTAATCACCCTCATAAAAAAAAATCCTCTATGCATTCAGCAATTATATTGTTTGCATATGTGGACAAGGATCTAGCGGTCTTTGGATTTTGGGTACGAAATCCGGAATGGATTAGTTTTTTAAGCATTGCGATGTATAGGAAATAGACCAAAGGATTTGGAAAGAAGAATTATAGATTAGAATAGGATTTAGAAGAGAGAAGAAGAATGGTGGTTAGTCTTCAGGGAGAAGGCTGATGAGAAATTTAGAGGATAGGAAAATAAGAGAGCAAAGGGACATTGATTTATTGATTTCTAGTTAATTTGACAAAAAAGTAACCTAATACTAATCGACTACTAAATACTCGAATAATAATTATCCTTATAGGATTAATTATAATAGTATAATAGAAACAGCGAGTTTTGTTTTTTGTTTTTTGTTTTGTTTTTTTGTTTTTTTGGGCTTTTTGGTTAGTATGGTTATGTATTTAGTATTCATGGGTTAGTTATTGGGTTACGTAGTTAATACTTAATACTAGTTTGTTAGTGCATGGAATAGCATGGACCAAGTAGTTTAGTGGCCAATTAGGAGTCTTGTTCATTGTGTGGCCGAGTTGGCTATAGACTAGTCTGAATCAATCAATCAAAGAAATAAACAAAAAGGTTTTCGACACGTATGTCATTTTGTCGCTTGTAAGTTATAAACAAAAACCCTTACAATTGTAGGTTACGATTCATCAAGACTTTCTTGTCATGCATAATCATATGCAACCAGTTGAACTCAGAGATGACAGAGGTACATACCTAATTATTGGAAGACTCATTTTGAATGTATTCCTATCGGAAATTTTCGTCAGTTCGTTGAGCATGCCAAATATTTGATGTCCTTCCTTGAAGCTACTCCCAAAAGCTGTCCTGGAAATCACTTCTGACGACAAAATCCAGAATTCTTCATGAACTTCGATCTCTTTCCCCTCCTTCATCTTCCATCTCTCTAGCATTTTCTCTGCACTAGCAATCATGTCCGGTACCATACTCTGCAAAGAATCAAATGTCACTTTCGATATGTTTATTTATAACTATTTAATTTTGCTTTTTATGTGAATTCCATACATATGCCCCGTACCAAACACTAACATAAATTTTTGCTGTTATATTCCACTAACCCATATATCGGCCCATGATAATGATACATATCAAAATATAATGATAATAGGTCTTAAATAATGGTCGTAACCACCATATAACTATATGTGAAGCAGTCCTTTTCAGTTGGTCAACTATCTCAGTAGTTGGATGTTCACAGCTTTCCATAACAATGATTTTTAGGAAAAAATTTCGGATTGTTTCGATCAATTAGAAAACGATACAATTGGTCAACTATCTCATTTTACAAAATGACTCATTTAAAACAAATCAATTGAATCACCTGCTCCCACTCCAGACAATTGTAATTGCCTAGAAAGAAGTCAATTAAAAAAATTTCAGACCAAATTGTTTCATCAAAAGTTAATGTTGCCAAACAGGTCAATTTGACCCAATTATCTCAAAACATGATAATTGAGACAAATTAATCCTCTAGAGTTCCTCATCCGAATGAGTACTTATTTTCCCTAACTTTGATATATATTGCAATTAGGGTCGGGAAATAGGTGATTGGGTGAGTTTCGCTCTTAAACTGACTCACCCACTTACCAATTCAATGAGTTGGTACAATTGTGACCAGCAATACACCCACGAATTTCATCGGGTTGGGTTGGGTGGGTGGTGGATGAATGTGATTGAGTTGTGGGTTAAACCGCAAACACAATTATGTGACTGATAATTAGGCAAGTTGACTAGCATCTATAATAAATTCCTCGCACATTAGCCAGACTGCATCAATTTAGACACCTCTCAATTTGTCTCCTATGAAAATGTCTAGTACTCTTTCAAATCTTTCATTACTTCAAAAAACTAATTATGTAGAAATTTTTTTCGACTTGGATTCAATTAATTGTTTAGTATTTGCATCTCACTACCTAATGGATATTACGTTACATAATAACCATAGTAGTAGCCAAAATTAGTCTTTATTTTACGGTTTTAGAAGTTGATGGTCAGTGTGTATTGTCGGCTAAGAAATAAGATGACTATTCGATAGTATAAAAAAGAAAAAAAATTATTTTCTATGTAAAGATGGAGTGCAGGTCATTCGGGTGACCCGTAACCCACCCATCTGATAAGTGCAGGTAGAAGATTTATCGATTCACAATCCACCCACATCAACTACCCATCCGCAATGGTTTGAGTTATTAATTTACGGGTGGATAGATGTTAAATTACGGATTACCCACCCACATGCCCACCCCTAGTAGCTATACAGTTATCTTGTATAGTAATTTCAGACTATTTACTTATTAGCTAATAAAATTAAGATGATCTTAAGATTCCAAACTAATGAGATTTCCTTTATCTAAGAAAGTCAATGTCTTTACTGTCGAACAAAACAAAAAAAAAAAAGTCAATGTCAAACCTTACAAGTTGAACCCGTCTTTTTATTTCCATAAAGAAGAAGAAGTAGACTTAAAGAAAGAGTGGGCATTAGAAAAAAACCTCAACTTGCGTTCCTCTCAATTATAAACTTCAATCACTTCAAATAATTATGAGTAAATGACTAACTTAACTAATTAAGCGTGGCAGAGATGTAGTCTCGTAACATTATTATTTTCGCTCGTTAGAAGCGTCAACTCAAACAAAGATAAAATATAAAACGAATTTAAAGAAAAGTTCGAGATCTGTAGCTTACTTTGAGGTTCTCGCCATGCAAAGCGAAATCTGCCATTCTTCTCACCTTAACCCACTTTTCACCTTCGTTAATCGCAAGTCCTTGGCCAAAAATCTTTCGCAGGTAAGGAGACAGCAGGTCGGATTTAGAGAAAATACGGTTTTTGTTGCTTAGAACTTCTTTGACTAAATCTGGGTCTCCGAGAACCATTTGAGCTCGCGGTCCAATCCAGAACACAAAGTTCTTCCCTATTTCCAGCAAAACATAATACGAAATTCCTTCAGTAACAGCAGGAGAAGTAAATATAGCATATGATAAACCCACAAAATTAAAGCACGTCCCCTGAACTGAAATTTGAAACCATCTTTCTCCGTACGTACCGTATTGCTTGGTCCATGCGGAGATGTGAGGGATGACCCTGTGAGCTATGTCGTGGGAAAGAGTGGGCATGGGTTTGGTCAACGCTTCCTCTCTGAACTGAATGAGTTGTTTGACGTTTCCTAGGAGGAAAGCGTAAGGAGGGCCGTTGAGCCCCTGCGAGTTGAGGAACCGCTGTGTCTGCAAAGGTTGCCATATTACTGTGTGGAGGAATTTGACGACGGCATAAACGATGTAGGCGGTGGCCGGAACGAGAAGCAGAGAAGTTAGAGGACTCATTGCTTTCACAATTGGAAGGAAGACTATTGAGAAACTTGTTCATTACATTGTGTGTTTGTGCTGTATATATAGGAGGCCCGTCATAATCCTCAAATATAATATAGCTTACCATTGCTGTCTACATGACCATCCAACCCCTCTCTTCTCTTTATTTTCCGTTGACATTTTGTATTTCGTGGATGTAATAATGCAGGTTTAGGCTTTGAAGATCGAAAGCTTCCAACAAATGAAAGGTAAATGGAAGGCTAAAGCCATTCGCGTTCTTAAACTTCTTTTTCTTACTTTTTGGTTTGATTTGGTTTGGTGTAGGTCGAAATGTCAGTTGGTTTGATTTGGTTATATTTATGAAGTGAATCTTAATTTTTCTGAAGTTATTTTCAATGCTTAATTTTATATTACATTAAGGGCGACATTGAAATTAATTATTAGATTTCCAATTTTGAATTCATTATAATATTTTATTAATGATCGAACAATGTATTCTTAATGATGATAACACTTCTTAATTTCATGACATGTCTATTTAATGATGTGGTCACTAATTATCTATGATTTAAAAGAAAACTTAAATAGCAAAAAGAAACTTTGCCTCACAGAAGGTAGTATAAATAGCACATATTTATTAAACTCTTAATATTAAAATCTACACAATAAATAAAAGCCAAATGAAAAAATTTGAAGCCCCATTTCAAATTTCCTGCATCCAGAGTGAAAGTAGGAAGGACATTTTGGTCTTCACAATTACTTTTTTTTATTCATTAAAAAGACACTTACTAGGATTCGAACCATGACCATTTTAAAGATAAACAAAGATCATAACCAATCACACTAAGTACATTTGTCGTATCTTTTTAAATTAAAAACATATAATTGCAGAGAGGAAAAAACCCTTCCCCCATTTCAAATTCCCTGCTCCAGGAGCGTTTGTAGGAAGAGTAGAGTAGGGAGTGTCAATTTTTTTCTTTTTCCTCTATGGAACGGGCCAACTTACCGTACACATGCGGATTTAAACGGGTCCTTTTATTTCTCCATAGTGGTAAAATATATATATGAAAAGGAAAAAACAATACTCCTTTTTATTTCTAAAAAAAATAACAATAAACTAATGCATGGATTCTAATGGGCTAACCGCTAATCATAAAATAAAAGAGTTTTTTGATAGACATAAAATAAAAGAGTTGAATGGGTCAGACCTACACGGGATTTGCCCATCAAGTAAAACAAATGAACATCATGGGTTTGCCATTCTAAAACAAACTATTTTCTCTAGCATAATATATATTATGCTATTATTTTATATCTTAGTGGCTAAAATATAATGTATTTTAAAGTTATTCAATGGTACAACCTCGACCAACTCAATTAGTCCAATTTTTATCATTTCAAATATATATTATGTAATTATTTGATATCATAATGATTAAATTATAGTGTATATTATAGGGAATGGTTTGGTATTTGTTAGTTAAAAACTAAACAGAAAGATCTATTTGGTTATTTTTAACATTAAAACGATCCTAAACATTTTCAGTTTCCTTTCGAAATTCTATAGTTTTATTCCCGAATCAGTGATGTGCAAATGGTGAATTGCAATCATCTCTTTTCTTTCATTATTTTTTATTTTCAAATATAAAGTTTAAAAGTAAAGAATAATTAGAGTTTGGCATGAGTCGGTCAAACAGGCTGAATTTCAAATTTTTGCCCGTTTTGATCAAGTCTAATTTATAATCACATGGTTCCCTGATACCCTATAAAAATCTCAATCCAAATCAGTTTGGCAGGTGAGTCCGTGTTTACCACCATTTTCTAGGGATACAGGAAAGTTGGTTCCTATCCCAAATCGTGCTGTTCATTCTTGATTTCTTTAGATTTTATCATGGCTTGGCAAAAAACCAGAAAGCACAATGATGAGAAGATGAAAGTTTTATAAATCAAATTAATCGGCCAACGGGCCGAGTAAAAGCTAGCAACGATTGTGAGATGCTCATTTCCCGAAAACCGGCGGGATAGGCGATTTTTTATTCGATTTTCTGGAATTCGGTTTCTATAAAACTTACTCCACCTCATCATATTACCAGAAACAATATTGTTTCACAAGGTAACAGGTACTTGATTTTGGTTCATAAGGCTGATTTTTGATTCGTTGCATCATTCATATCTCTTTTCTACTAAGATTCACTATTTTTATCACGTGTTTCTAAAAAAAAAAACTATACAACAATAAGCTATACACTCCATTACATTATCAAATTTCATATCTCATCTTCGTCCGGCCAAATGGCCGGGGCCCACGCTAGTATTCTAAATAGTGCAATAACAAAATCGATAGAAAAATAACATTCATCATCCTTGTTTATGTGAAAAATGTTTGTCATTCAACATACTCGAAATTTTGTCGAAGGATACTCTTAGACCCTCAACAAATATAATTAAACCTCTCGTGTACTACTCACCCTACTAATGCATACAACTACATCAATACATGCAAGAAAACTCCGGCTCGAATTCATCACTTGCCAATTATTGTTTCTAGTTGATCATATTAAATCAACTGTAAATGATACATATGGGTAATTACTCTATGATAATAAAAATTAATTAGATAAAATAATTTACAAAAATCTTGTTCGTAAATATAATTGTGTTCTTTAAAGCTCATCCATAGCACTTCACCCCAAAAAAAAAATCTTCATTGACAAATAATCGGTAGCATGACAACAATATACATAGACAAAGATGTTAATGAAAATTAAAAGGTCTCTCATTTGAGGCTGAATATTTCATTACACTTTGAGGAGCTTATTGAATCATTTATAAGTCTTGCTCCTAATAATACATATGTCTTCGCCAAAGGTAACACAACTGAATTGGTTGGGAGTGTTGTCTTTCGGCTTTGAGATGTGTTAGGTCTCAAGTTCGAACCGCGGTACACCACTTGGTGTTTCCGGAGGCACTGCGAAGAAAATATGTCTCGTGTGACAAAACATAATTTTGTCACTACCAATTTTGTCACAATAGATACAAAAATATGACAAAATATTTCTTTCGTCACAAGAGACTTATTTATTGTGACGAATATAGATTTGTCACAAAGATTATTCACATTGGCTTCTCAATGTGACAAAAATTGTTTATATCACAAAATATTTATCATAACATCATGGAATTATGTGTACTGCACATAATAATGTGACAAAATAACTTGTCATAAGAATTTTTTGTCACATAAAATGATGTAGGTGTAATATGACAAATAGGTTTGTAACAATATTTATCGCTACTGATTTGTACGTAAATAATATTACGCAATATACATAGTCACTATCATGGTTTGTCACAAAAACTAAATAGCGAAAATATGAAAAAGTATTTGCCACATTATCCTACATTATTGTTAATTAATTTTATGGAGGGAAAAATCCAACATTATTTTTTCGCACTCCCGCTCTCCCCTCTGTGTAACCCAGCAGACTCTTCCTGTTCCCCAAAAAAACCCTAACCCTTCTCCCTTCTCACGAACAACTATAATCCCTAGAATTGTTCTTCCCTCAGAAAAACCATAATCCATCACCAAAATCGTAATCCCCAGTCTTCCCGATTGAAGCCCAGACGAATAGAGGAAAGCTCTAATTAGGTACAGACTAAGATTTTTTTGTTGCATGTCGATAGATTTTTTGTTTGGCTGTTCGATTTTCGTCTTCAGATCTCTGGTCTTACAAATCGTACTGCACTGTCGATAGATTTCTTATCCATGATTGACTGCATGTCCTAATTTTACTTTGTTGTCGATTGATCGTTCAATCCCATTTTATCGACGAATCTCTTCAGCTGATGTCAATTACGACGTCTTCTCCACTGATCTTTTCAGTTTCATTGTGATGCTGTGATGTTGGTTACGACTCTATTTGATTGCTTGAACACCTTAGTTTTCTTGATTATGGAGTTCTATCACTGATGAGCAGGTCTGATTTTGCGAGTTTGTGATGTTCGATTTCCAACTAGCTTTTATTTGTTGACTCTATTTGATTGCTTTAGGGTTATAGGTATAATATGCCCCTCTACTATGACGTTTTATCAAACATGCCCCTCTACTATTTTTTACATCAAATATGCCCCTGTACTTTGAAAAAATTATCAAACATGCCCTTCTGTTAAAATTTCCATTGAAAAAATCGTCAATCATGGTTGAATTGAGATTTAGATGACCCGACATCATCAAATGGGAGAGAAAAAATTCTAAAGTGAAATTACTTGAATGATTTGATTATACAAAATAACCAAAAAAATTCTGAAGTGAATTTATTAGGGATATTTTAGTCATTTGTGTCGCCCAAATTAAAGTCCGGCCTTGGTTAACGGTTTTTGGATGAAAATTTTAACAAAAAGGCATGTTTGATCATTTTTACAAAGTACAGGGGCATGTTTGATGTAAAAAATAATAGAGGGTCATGTTTGATAAAACTTCATAGTAGAGAGGCATATTATACCTATAACTCATTGCTTTACTATGCTTGATTTCTCCATTATGGACTTTTGTCATTAGTCCAGTGGCCTGAGTTCATCTTTCGGTTTCACTAAAATCTACGTTTTGTGAGCATACTGTCAATTTTCTAGCAGTGTTCTGAGTTCATCCTCTGGTGCTACTCTCTTTTGCAGATGAATTGGGAGTTCGAGCTGGACGGAACTTGACTATTCGTCGTAAAGGCTACAAGTCAAGGTTAATTTATGATGACCCGGTATTTGCACATCTTTTCCCCTTTGTTTCTTGATTGTTTGAGCTTGAATTATCGTGTATTTGGCCTATTTTACGCTAGGTTGTGTTCCTTTTTCATATTTCAGGTCCTATCACATAATTTGAAGCATAGGCGCAAGTTTCAAGTCAATCAGAGATCAATTGACGATTCGGGAGAAGAAACTCGGGCATGACCTAAAGAAGAATGGATTTCTACCTTACTTTATGGAGAAATAATCATGCAAGCTTGTCATGAAAAGAAAGAGGA